TAGGTGGGATAGAGACAAGGAAGTAGAGTACTTTCTTACCAATGTGGGGTAAAATGTGTGTTAGATATAAACCTTTGTTGTGTTAATCTGCTAAGATTAGGGATTTATATGTTATCTTTGTACAGCCTAACATTCATGGTTTGGAATATACTCCTTGGTATAACCCATTTTTTTCTTCCAGACTCATATCTTTTATTTTATTTTTTTAACTTTTATTTAATGAATATAAATTTCCAAAGTACGATTTATGGATTACAATGGCTACCCCCACATACCGTCCCTCCCACCCACTACCCTCCCCTTTCCTACTCCCTCTCCCCTTCCATTCACATCAAGATTCATTTTCGATTATCTTAATATACAGAAGATCAGCTTGGTATACATTAAGTAAGGATTTCAACAGTTTGCTCCCACACAGAAACATAAAGTGAAAAATAATAGATGATTTTTTTTAAATGATGATGAAATCAGAGCAGACCTATTGTCATGTTTAATCCCAGTGAGAGTCAAGTTGGGAATTGATAATTTTTTTTTTTTTTTTTTTACAGAAGATCAGTTTAGTGTACATTAAGTAAAGATTTCAATCGTTTGCACCCCCATTATTTTTTAAAGATTATTTATTGGTCAGCTCTGTGGCTCACTTGGCTAATCCTCCATTTGCGGCGCCGGCACACCGAGTTCTAGTCCCGGTTGGGGTGCCGGATTCTGTCCCAGTTGATCCTCTTCCAGTCCAGCTCTCTGCTGTGGCCCGGGAAGGCAGTGGAGGATGGCCCAAGTTCTTGGGCCCTGCACCCGCATGGGAGACCAGGAGGAAGCACCTGGCTCCTGGCTTCAGATTGGCGCAGCTCGCCAGCTGTAGTAGCCATATGGGGAATGAACCAACGGAAGGAAGTCCTCTCTCTCTCTCTCTCTCTCTAACTCTGCCTGTCAAAAAAAAAAAAAAAAGATTATTTATTTATTTGAAAGTCAGAGGGACAGATAGAGAGAGGGACACATTGGGGAGTAGGGGGAGTGAGGTGAGAGAGAGTGTTCCATCTGCTAGTTCTACTCCCCAAATGCCTATAGCAGTTGTGATGACTGGGCCAGGCCAAAGCAAGGAGCCAGTAACTCCATTAAGATCTCCCATATGAGTGGCAAGGACCCAATACATGATCCACTATCTGCTGCTTTCCAGGTACACTAATAGGGAACTGCATTGGAAGAACAGAGTAACTGGGACTCCAGTTAGGCAGTTTGGTGTGGAATGTGGGCATCCCAAGTTGTGAGGTAATGCTCTGTGCCATAATAGCTGGACCCAGACTTACATCTTTAATTTTTCCACCTTTCATCAGAACTTGATAGACAGCAAGTTTTCAGTGAGTGTCCCTGTGAGACAATCATTACCTCACATGTGGTCTCTCGTGATAATTTTCAGTCCAAGGAAACCGATTGTTTTGTTTTAAATACCCATTTTTGTTCCCAGATTGTTTTCATACTGTTCTCTGTCCAGAACATACATGAGTTCTTCCACTTGTTCCACACTGCTTGTTCTTCTGCCTGTCTTTCTTTGGGAGGGGGAATGAAAAAAGAAAAGAAAAAAAACAAGTCAAACAAAACAAAATAAATGTAAAAACTCTCTTCCTGGGAAGCTAATTGTGATACTATGGGCTGATTGTGATACTATGTGTGCATCACTTTTAACCCAGTTGTCGAAGTTCCCTTGAGTGCAGGGACCATGTCAACCTTGTATCATCCTCTGGTAGTAATCTGGAAAAAAAGGCTCCCAGTAACAATGTATTGACTCACATATTGATTTCCATTTGCAGAGATATTGGATCCTAGCAAGCAGGTGTTATTGAGTAGTTGCTTGCTATTCATTTATTGCATTTCCATATCATTTCACAAAGCACACTAGTGATAAAAAATTGATTGATTGGCAACTATCTTTCCTTTTACTATCTGGCAGGGATATGCTTCTAAATTTTTGTTTAACACCTGAAATTTTGTTTGTAGAGCTACACTAAGAGGTGTTTATTCACCATAATGATTTTTCATGATACAGCTTATTTTAAAAATCCGAGAATTTTGTTCATACTCACTGAATCTATCTCCATAATTTGTGATTGATTGAAACTTATTTAGTATCTCATTAAGTTCTCTTTTACATATAGTCAAAAGTTATGATTTTCTTTGTAATACATTTTTTCTTTAAACATACACATATTAAAATTTGGTAGAAGTAATATTTGGAGAAAATAGTTTTCAAGGATATCAATAAAATGAAGATTGATTAAACTGAAGTTCTTCAGTTTTTTTTTTTAGTGAATGCCCCTACAGAAAAAATTAAAATGAGTACATACATGACAGATACACACCTTTATGCTTTATAGCAGTCTTTAGCAGTATCTCAAGGACCAGAGGACTGATTCAGAACATGTAGAACATAAAAGTTCTTATATAGGTTTTTCAGAACATTTGGCAAAGTTGTCTTTGTCAGATAATTCTGTTTGTGATAAATTATTCAGAGACAAAACAGCTAACTGGTTAGAGTAGTGCTTAATAGAAAACTAACACATTTTAAAGTGGTCCCTGAAAGTCCTTTATGAGACTTGGATGCTAACAATACAATCTCTCTTGTACAGTAACACTTGCCCTGGTTTATTGAACTATTTGTCTAATAATGATTCCATCAGACTTTTGTCCTGTTAACTGGATTTATTCAGAACAAGAACTAGAATTTGCAATTGACTTAACTCTTAGACACTGATAATGTAAACAATTTTCATAGTTACAATCCACATAAGTTAATTTCTGTCTGGGTCACCACAGCTAACTTTACTGTTAGTAAATCACATGCAATTGAAACATGTCTGCAATTGTATTTCATGGTTTGCTTGAAAGCAAAGTAGTTCTTGTGAAACTCATCAGATTTGGGTTTTTACCAATATTCAATAGAATTTGTTATATAAACAACAGACACTCAGATACTTACTTACAAATACAGTTTTACATCAATGTGAATACATTTGGAGAACTTTGTTATCACAAACACAGCACTAGACTCTTCCAAGGAATGATTCATATGTTGAGGATTCATTAGTGGGACTTTTTGTGACAAAAATATTGACATACTTTCCAAAACAAATTTGGAATCAAGATGAGGGAAACTTGATGCAGAGTTAGTATCTCAGAAAAAAAAAAATCAAGTAAATCATAAAGAACAAATCAAGATCAACAGCATCTTTAAGGATATGCCATCAAATGCATCATCTTTTCTTAGCTGTAATATTATATATGTACTAGGTGACAACAAGTAAAGATTATATCACCAGCGCCCTTGCTGAAGAATATAATTTAAGTGGTATACAAGAAAAATAATCAACTAACAAAATTCATAAAAGATAGGGTGCTGTAGACAAAGTGAGCAGAGTTGTTTTGAACATTACAAAATAAAATGGCATTTCTCACTATGCTATCATCACATGATATCCAGACTGTCTGCAAGACTCCATCCTTCCCAAGAGAGTGGTGTATCAGGAATGTGAGAGGGAAGTTATTCATAGAAATATCTGTTGAAATATTGAGCCAGAAAGTGGTGCCAAGACGAAAGCATTGGGAACATGTTGCTGAAGTCTGAGACTTTGACATAACAAAATATAACTGACATAAAGAGAAATAAATTGAAGAAAGTAAAATGAAGGAAAAGTTGGAGAGTTGAGGTTGTTTACAGGTGTATTTCCAGAGGACCAGCTTTGAAGTAAAAGAGGTTTGAATCCAAGGACCCCTATTTATTAACTTGATATAGATCAAATAAATGACTCACAAGACTTATTTTCTCTCCTCTGTAAAAATGAAGAGATAGCTTTATAACCCTTGCTGAATTTTGTGAAAATTAGAATTAATGTGTAGCTACTCAGTATTGATAGCTATTTTGAAGTGTAGGACTTCATTCATCAAAAGTATTCATAAATGTATACTATCCATCAGGCACTCTGCTAAGTGCTAGAGAATTTCAGATAAATAAAACAAAATCCTACCTTTGATAGGGACTGAGAAGGAGTGACAGATAATGAGAACAAGTTGAAACAACTTAACATAGGTCACAAAACATTATTATGTTATTATTAAAACAATATTAGAAGTCTATATAAGGTGCAATAGAGGGGAAACACACAAAGTAGTCAATTTGACACTGAGGAAGTGTGTTTTGAAATTGCTTTTCAACACTCTTTTACGAAATGGATTATAGCGAGAAATTGTTCTATACAGGAGACAGCTAACAAGGGAAACATAGGCTTACAGTCATGTCATGGCCTGGATATTATAAAACTGAAATCATTGTGATGAGGACTGCAAATGGATTTGACTAAAAAAAGCAAGAGAAAAGACAAAATGTTATGGTTAGGGGCCATATTAGATTTTCATGTGACCGATTAAAGCATTAGGTACTTATTTAAAACTAATCATGGTTAGCAGTCTGGAGCTAAGTGAGGACCGGGAGCAGACATGAATATATAGCAACTCTACTTTGTTAAGCCTGCAAAGATTGCTCTGTTACCCTCATCAGAGCACTTCCACTCAAATGAAACAGACAATTTGTTGTGGCAGAATGACTTTATGTGACATTTGCTGCCACTCCGGATACGCTTAACTAAAGACATCTTCTCTGACTTTGTATCAAATGCACGATAAGGGCTTGCTTAAATAACTCAGTAAACTATAGCCCCATGTTCCCTGGGGGCAAAGGTAGCTTTCCAGGGGACTTGTCAATGTAATTAACTACCATAAAGTGACATTTAACATTTAGGTAGTGAATATATAATGCTTGACTGTTGCAATCTGCCTTGGCCCTACTTGGACATTTTCCCAGAGTAAAGAATGTACACAAAACTTCAAATAAGGACTTTAAAGTGATATATAAAATCAGGAGTGAAAATTTAGGGAAAAACATTACGGCTTATAAACTATTGAAATAATTTGCATGTTCATTGAAGTCTTTTTTTTTTTTTTTTTTTTTTCAGGCACAGAGACAGAAAGGGACAGATAGACAAACATCTCCCATCTCCTGTTTCACTCCCCAAATGCCCAAATAGCTAGGATTGAGCCAGGCCAAAGACAGGGGCCCAGAACTTCATCTAAGTCTAACACATAGATGGCAGCAACTCAAGTAACTGAGCCATCACCTTCTGCCTCCCAAACTACGCTTCAGCAAGAGACTGAAATCACAAGTGGACTATGACTTAAATACAGGTAGCTTAATATGGAATGTGGTTGTCCAAAGCAGACATATTTTTTAAACCAACAATATTGTATATTTGTACAGCATGTTTTTTAAAATCTTAGAAGAATTCTATTTTTACTTTTTCTCCATAAATATTTTGTACCAGCTAGGTGCCAGATACTGAATATAAGGCTGATTTCACAACAGACAAGCACTTATCTACGTTAGACCCTCTGCTTGAAATGCGCTTGACTCACATTGCCATGTTTATAAATCTCTTCTAAGTGCTTCTTTTAGGAAGTCACCTTCTCAGAGACTTCCTAAAACTCATGTTCTCATCTAATAAAAATACCACTAGTGCTATTGCTGCTTATTGTTCTTATCCTACTTTATTTTCCTCTACAGTAATTAACATCATCTGTTCTTGTTTGTTAATAAAATGTCTCTGATACCTGGATTTGAAATCATAAACTTTGTTTTGTCACTATCCATTCTGCCATTCTGCAAAACTAAGAGGAAGACCTAAACTTTTGCCTTTCTGGGACTGGTCATTTCACCTTCTTTCAGACCAAAGCCCCCTTCAACAATGGGTAATTAAGTGGTACAAGGGGAGACAGGAAATAAAAACAATCAAGGAGTGGCAATCTATGTTGTATCTGAAAAGCTGCAAATGTATATTTGTTAGTCTAAATATATTAGGGCCCATGCAATTGTAAGGAAGGGAGAATCACATATAAACTACAAATATTTTTGTGAGATATTCACAGGTTAATACATAGAAATAAGACATTTGAGTACATCTTAATGGCAATTTTTAAAATTTGTATAAAAGCTGTATTAATTTTCTGTTTTGAGGGTTACCCTCCTTTACAACCCAGTTACCATAGAAGCATGAGATGAAACCAGTGTCCTCCAGGTAGAAATTTCTTGAAGTGTTCTTTCTCTAGGATTAATTAAATCATCAATTTCCTTATTATTTCCGAAGATTTCAAGAGAGTTCTTATGTGGGGTACAAGAAGTACATGACATTTGGATGGTCATTCTTGGGTAACCGTCTTCATTAAAGACAAAATAGCTGATCAAGAGGATGGGCAATTTGGTATAAACCAAATTACTTCTTAAGTGTCTTTAGCAAATCTCATCTCCATAGATAGTCGATTATGGTGTATGTCTAGAAATCATGTTAAATGTTCATATATACTATATTGATGTCTTAAATTGAATGGGAAAACCTGTTGATTGACTTTGTATAAGCAGATTTCAATAATTCCTATTTTAAAAGTTTTTCTTCAATGACATTTTGTCCTCTATCCTGCCTTTTCCCATAATCATCATCAATGTATAAAAGAATTCCACTGAATTCTGATGCACCTACCCCTATATCTGGTTGTTTTTACAGATGGACAGTAAAAATATTAAAAGGCTGACTAGTTCTGTAGATGAATCTAGTTCTCTTTTTGTCAACAGAGTAAAGAATTTTCTGCCTTGCTAATTGTCTTTGTTCCTTCTAAATTCTTGGTTAAGGTGGATTATTTTCCTTGGCAACTAAATGGAGTAAAATATTTTCAGAATTTTGAAAGTCTCGGTCACATTAAATTTGTCTCTTCAGTTCCTTTTCGGAAAAATTTACCTCTTCTCTGCCGTCAGGAGCTTTCTTCTCCACTTTTTCTCAATGTTAGTGCCAACCCTAGAATATTTTCCATGATTACTTTGAATCCCCCTTGTTATTCAATAGGAAGTCCTTTCTGATTCACTTCACATCCTGCCTTATCTACTAAGAAAATCTCTAGTATTTAATATCAAATGTTAACATTGAATTCTTTAGGGTTACTTATGGCAATGCCTGTAATCTATGCCTGTACCTGTTTCACAAGCTTACTACTATGAACAACTGTCACTAATTTGCCTAGAAATCAGCAATTTTGACAGAGCTCAGTGGATTCACAGCATCTCAACTGACAGCTTCAATCTGTCAGTTGAGATAAGTTGGAGGTTGGCATTATCTGAAGCCTTGCTGAGATTCTGGGGGTTATAGTTAGCTTGGACCATACCTATAGCCATCACCAAGAACAGCCACACACAACCTCTCCTGATAGCATGATGGCTGCTTTCAAAGAACAGGTAGGTAGCGTGAATGAAAGATGCTGTTTTTTCTAAAAGTCTATGCACAGAAAATGGTTGTGTATAACCCTCCTTCCCACTGGCTGAAAGTTAGTGTACAGATTCCACTAAGGAGATCAGAGGAATGTCAGAAAATTTGAGGTCCATAGGTTAGAAATATGCGATCTTAATTCTAGTATCATATTATTTATGTTCCTCTTACATACAAACACATGTATCTACTGGCAATAGTCCCCCAAAGTCTCCTTCTCTTGCAGCACAGGTCTCAGGCTTGTTTTCCAGGGTTGTTTCATCTGTATCTGTTCCAGGTATGAATGAGAGTCCTTCAATTTGATATCTACTATAATCCCTCAGAAACATTTCCTTCTGATTCTATGAACTAAGGACTAAAGGGATGATTTTCCATCCCCTACACAGCCATTATGCACTGATATTCAACAAGAGAGGAAACAGGAGGCATTGAAGCATACTCTGACCCTAGAAATTGTGGATTGCTCTTAACTTTTCCCTTTACATGCTTGATTCTACCAATTAAATCATCTTCTATTTTATAAAAGTATGTTTGCCATGAAGTTGCCATTTCAGTTTTTTAGCCCATAAGAAGTTTGGCATCCAAAGGTCTCTTTTCATTATACTGTCTTTGTGTGTTTTAGTCCAAGTTGGTAATGCTTCTGTCAGCACAATTTTCTTTAAAGCTATCTTTGTGGATTCTTTATGAATCTTCACTGCGTAGGAAAAAAAGGCACAAACATAGATCTCTTCAAGATAGGCGCTCCTCAACAGCATACTCACTGTGAAGCCGCATGCGAAAAGCCCTGAGTCTAAGAAGCCTTATTTAAGGAGGATATCTGTGAGACACAATCCTATGCTTTTAAGACAGTATTTTATCCGTAAGCTCTATGAGGAATAGCCTTGGATCTTTCTGAAACCTTAACAAATGGTTTCACAGCCATGCCCTAAGCTGCTTTTTCAGATCCTGTTTTCCTAAAAGTGTATGGGATGGATTTGTGCTAGGAAATATTTTCTCATTTGGAGAATTTCTTGGTAGTTGGAGAAGTTGAGAATGACAGTAAGTTTTCTTTTTTAAAAAAGATGTATTTATTTATTTGAAAGAGTTACACACAGAGAGAGGAGAGGCAGAGAGAGAGAGAGAGAGAGAGGTCTTCCATCCGCTGGTTCACTCCCCAATTGGCTGCAACAGCTGAAGGTGTGCCGATCTGAATCCAGGAGCCAGGAGCTTCTTCTGGGTCTCCCACATGGGTGCAGGGGCCCAAGGACTTGGGCTATTTTCTACTGCTTTCCCAGGCCATAGCAGAAGGCTGGATAGGAAGTGAAGCAGCTGGGACTCAAACTGGCACCCATAAGGTGCAGGAAGCGGCTTTACCCGCCATGCCACGGCAGTGGCCCCAGTAAGTTGTATTTTCAAGCTCAACAAATCCTTGCTCTTTTAACAAGGGTACTTCCAAAATTCATGAATGTAGCATTAAAAGATACATTTATTTTGGCTCAAACTTTTTTGGTATGCATGCTTCTTACTAAGCATGTAACACAATCATTTTAAAGAACTTTTGTACACATGTATTTCAAAAGCTTTTAGACTGGGGCCAGTACTGTGGCTTAGCAGGTAAAGCTGCCACCTCCAGTGCCAGCATCTCATATGGGTGCTCCATTGCCAGACCAGCTCCCTGCTAATGCACCTGGGAAAGCAGCAGAGCTGGACACTTGGGCCCCTGCACCTGAGTGGGAGACCTGGAAAAATCTTGTGGTCCTGGCTCAGCCCTGGCCATTTTTGTCATTTGGGGAGTAAGTAAACCAGTAGATGGAAGATCTCTCCCTTCCTATTTTTCTCTGCCTCTCTGTAACTCTTTCAAATAAATAAAATAAATATTTTTTAAACAGGAAAAAAAAAAACCTTTTTGGAACAAAAATCCCAACTCTTTAATTCCATTTTATTTGCAAATTTTTGAATTCTTCTCATATTTAACCATTCTGTTTTTGACGTCTCTCTCTCCTATATTACACAGGCAGCTAGAAGAAGAAGCAAGGTGGCATTTTTAATATGCTAACTGGAAGTTGCCACTGGATCCTTGGAGTCATTGTCATTGTTTTTTCTGTTTTCCATGATTGTCATTGTTTTTTCTGTTTTCCATGATACGTGGGTGACAGTGTTGCCATACTCTCTGCCACTACAGAAAATGTTTCTACTTCAGCTTACAACATTCTCACATATATTTAATCACTCAGCTACAATCTTCTTGTGGTCCTTTGAGAAAGAGGCCTCTGAGAAAACTTTAGCTTGTTAATAAAAAGGCTCCCAAATACCCTTCAAGTTTCAATGTATTCTTTGATCTCATAACCAGGGCCTCATGTTTTAGACAGCTGTTGTGTGTCACACTATGGGAGCCCAAAGTACATGAGGGCTCACTCATAACACATATTATTCCAAAGTAACTCACCAGGAAGTCTGATTTGGAGAGACATTTACTTTTACTCCTGGGAGTGACCAATGGCAGCTGGTGGATCTCATAAATCCACACTGCTCAGCTGGAGTACTCAGTGCTAAATAGCAGATGTAAACAAGCAGCACTGGTTCATGGTCAAAACAGTCAAGTGTGTTCCAGGTGTCTCAGCTGCAGCTTGTTAGACTTACTGGCCCTCTTTTACTTAAGATATTTACTCTAGGGTAAGTGGGAGGGGGGATTTTTCCTGAGCCCACTCCCAGGACACAGAATTCTTTCTCATGATGCGATTGCAGTATAATGAGCCTTCTGTACACTCCCTTCCGTCCTCAGCATCCTTGCAACCATGGACAACCATGAGGCACACTGCATCCAGCTCCCACAGATAGAATATAGGGAACACCTTCAAGGTCCTCTAGACTAATTGAATTGAGAGCTCAAACACTGATGTTTACCAAATGCAGTAGGCTATCCCAGTCAGTCCCAGACAGAATAGCCCAAAGCAGAGCCAGTCTTATTAACTGTTCCCTTACAAGGTGGAAACTGTGCTATCTGGTTTCACTGTATCTAACTATCTCCTCCACGGACAACTTCTCTCATTCAGTGCCAGAAGGGAGTTCAGTTAGTTGTGTTCACAGCAGCAACACACCAGGGTAGGCCAGAGGTTAAGGACAGAAAAAGTTCTGAATACATCAAACAGGCACTCTGTAAAACAAAACAAAATGAAGACAAACAAAAAAGCAAACCTCTCTCTCACCTGGAATAGGACTAGGGTTGATAACAGAAATGCTTAATAGGTACTAGAGGCAAATCATGATTATCAGACAGAATCCATGAAATAAAATGGTCTTGACAAGGTGTAGTGACACTCTGAGGCCCACATCCTGGGCAGGTGTACCAGACTCTTAGGTTGCCAAACCTGGCTAATTTTGTTATGTATAATACTTAAAGTGTGGTCCTGAATTGCCAGAGGGATTTTACAATGATTTCTTTTGGAAAAAATAAGGTACCAGGGTGGTAGTAACTTGTTTCTGTACCCCAAATACCCCAAACCTCAGGGCTTACAGTGAGCTTGTGTATTAGGCCCCTAGGAGCTTTGCGGAAACATCAGTGTGGTTTCTCCTATACCTGCCAAGACCACCTGAGAGTATTTTTGCCCAGTCCAATGTCTACCAAGATGGAAGAAGCAAATTGTCTGTACTTTATGTAGGTCAGATGCTGGGTTCTTGGGCTCAAATTTGAAGCCACTTAGGTGTTGCAATATACATGTTAGAAACCCTCAGCTCCTTTGCGAGTTATCTTCTTACACCATTTGCCCCACAGAGATTTTTATCCTTTAACATTTATGGGAGGCCTAAGGAGGAAGATCTGTCTTCTGTAACTTCTTCATGCTCTGTCAGGGCACCCTTCCTGTGTAGCAAGGAAATGAAAATCCTGCATTAACTGACTCAGAGAATTAATTCAGGGATCTCGAAATTCACCATCACTCATTGGCAATGACTGGAATCCCTGTATGTCCATCTATTTTACATGAAACCATCTGAATCAAGTAGGATGTCAGAGGTAAAGGAGGGCTCCCCCAAGATATCTAAAAAAGGGCTAAGCTATAAGGTTGACCTGAATGCCATATTCATCCTAAGGAGCGCAGTAGGCAATAATGTGCTCCAAGGGTTGGGAGTTGGTTTCTACAAATGGTTTCTTCTGCAGCTCCACTCTCACAGCTTCAATACATGTTGCTTGATAGAAGGACCGCAGCCCCTACAGTGCAACTCTGCCTGGCTTCCAAGACTCCCTTTTTAAGTCTCAGTGGAACTTCCATGACCCCCCTAACTCTTCCATTCTCTACAACAGTAAAATGAGCAACACGTGGACAATGTAATTTTCTACCACCAACAGTGGATCTGCCTGGAGGTTTTTGCTGAAAGGATTCTTCCCTGGAAGATCTTTGAAACAAATCTGCGTTTCTATGTCTCTCATCTTCAGGGTCTTTCTCTCATTTTTTGTCTTTTGCATAAACACATGGCTGCCATTTGCCTGAACTTGTTTTTAGCCATGGTTTCTCAATGTCATTTTCCAATTTGCAAGAAGGTGACCTAGGGCTGAATTCATGTGAATGAATGGGGGGGGGTGCATGCTAAAGTTTAGGGCTTAGGACGAGCAGAACCAGACTCTGACAGGCCACAGCACCACTCAGGGCCTTTTGTGGGTTTATATCTCTCTCCTTTACTCACAGTAGCAGTGAGACATGCACAAGAAATGGCCAGCAGAGACATCTACAAACATCCACACATTGTCACATATAGACACACATCCATATATACCTACTTACACATTTCTACACCCATCCACAAGCAACTACATTCACCAAGAGCCATGCCTACCATGACTCCTGTTTGTCTATATGGCTTTACATATAATAATGACCTGGAGCCAAACTGTTATATAATAGGTCTGTGGGCAGCTGGCCAAGCAAGTGGGCCTGGCAGTTACCATAACAACAGTTACTATGGAGGCACAGTTATGGAAGCACAGAGACAAGGGAGCAAAAGTAACCTTGCATTCCCAAGTTCATCTCAACAGGAAGTTACCCATGGCTGCAAAACTCTCCCCAAGACCTAGAGAACGCAAGTGTGTTCGGGCCTGGCATTTCAAACAAGCCCCTCAACATCCAGGCATCCCAGAGTTTTCCTTGTGGATTAGTTCAGTCTTGAGACTATAGATTTTTTTTAAAGATTTATTTGTTTATTTGGAAGAGTTACACAGAGAGAGAGAGACACAGAGAGAGAGAGAGGTCCTCCATCTGCTGGTTCACTCCCCAGTTGGCCAGAACGGCTGGAGCTGCTCTAATCCAAAGTTTCAAGAGACAGGAGCTTCTTCCAGGTCTCCCACGCGGGTGCAGGGGCTCAAGGACTTGGGCCATCTTCTACTGCTTTCCCAGGTCATAGCAGAGGGCTGGATTGGAAGTGGAGCAGCAGGGACTCAAACCAGCGCCCATATGGGATGCCAGCACAGCAGGTGATGGCTTTACCTGCTATGCCACAGCCCGGGCCCCTGAAGCCATAGATCTTAAATATGCTCCATGATACCCAAGGATCCCAAGGCCCTCCCATGGGGGTGTTCTGGGTGAGTCACAAGATCCCAGACTTCAACTTTAATACATCAGCAATGCAATGTAGAAGGCTGCATAGCACCCTAGGTGCAAAAAATAGAAGCCTGATGCCTCCAATTCTGAAAATTACTGAATGAAGGGTGGTTTAGAAGGCCTGAGCAAGAGAGGCTACCATCAGAAATAAGGAGACTCAAGTCCACTGGAGGTAAGAGTTTTGAGAAACTCACTAAGGGATGTTTGGGTGGGATTCTAACTTCTACCCCAGGGTCTTGGTTGACTAGCACTTTGTGGGGTGGCCCCAGAGGATAGCAAGGCCAACAACATAGCCACTGGCCCTCTGAGGCTGCCTGCACAGCCTCTGGAGCCAGGCTGTCCCTAGTTCTGTGGCCAAAGCCATGAGCCAGAGGCTTCTTCCTCTGCAGGAGGTGTGTTGCCATCATCCTTCCCCCAGTCTGCCCCTTAGCTCCAGATCTCAGAACATTTGGCAGCTTCAGTGGGGGCTTGTGAGGTGTTCACTCTAACTTTCACAACTGTTGTGTAGTTTTCTTTTCTGAGGTTGGTTGGGATTTTTGTCTGCTGGCGTATTTCCACAAGCCCACCAGCCCTAAGTTGTTTATTTGTCTTGTCAGGGTTGGTCCTGGCCCTTGGAAATAACTTTCACTCAGAAGTGATAATCAGATAAACATTGTTTCTAGTAACCAGGTTTCCATAAATAAAAAAAAAAGGGAAAAAGATTGCATTAAACAGAAATGTAGAAGCATTTTCTGAAAACTATGCCTCTAACCAAGAAAATTTAGCTGAGACACAAATGGATTATAATAGTAAAATTAGATGTGTTTACTTCGGCAGCACATATACTTAAATTGGAACAATAATAAATATTAGAAAAGTCCTCAACTGTATCAGTTAAAACATTTTCTGTCTACCTGGCTAAGATAGCAGTGTTTAAATGATTCTGGTTCCAATAGGCCAAGGACAGTCTAAACTTATTAGATTCATCATTAATTGACTATATAACACACATGATACCTGTTAAGAATGAAGCCAAACTCATAGTATATAGATTTAGTAGTTTGTTTTTCCTTTTTTATTTATATAAAGGGAGCAAATGCACAGTTTTAAGAGCAAGATGAAACTGGCTACCCTACCATCCTTTCCTCTCTCCCTACCTTACTCCCACCCTCCCTTTCTTTCTTATTTCTCTTTTCATTTCTACAATGATATACTTTCAACTTAGAATCACAAGCTTAAACATCCACTAAAGAATAGTACCAAATAAGTACCAAACAGAAATCATCTGTCCCTCAAGAGTTTATTATAAGGGCTAAAAACAATCAAACCTCAAATATTTTTGCTTATACTCATTAATTTTTATACTCTGTATATTAGTTACCACAAATAAGGGAAAATATTGTATTTGTCTTTTTGGTTCTGGCTTATTTTACTAAGTATAATGGTTTCCAGTTGCACCCATTTTGTTGTGAAAGCCAGGATTTCATTTTTTTACTGCTGAGTAGTATTCCATCATGTATATATGATTTAGTAGTATATACAGCTATGCACTTTGGTGGACATCTTTGGAAATGTCAAGATCTGAATGAGATATTGGAAATAAAATTTTTTAATGAGTTACTGATGCTCCTGATAAATTCTGAATGAGCAATTTCCTAGTCACTATATGTATGAGATTAATTTAATTCTGAAAAGGTATCAAAAATCTGTTAGAAAAACTTGTTACACAGTAAAAATGTTTTGAGGATATTTCACAAAGATGTCTCAGTAAGATGTTGGTTGTTCATTTAATGATATACCACTTTCAGATTGTTTGGCTGTAGAATGAGTTCATTGTCATTTAAGTTAACTTTTTGTTTTTGTTTTTGTTTTTTTTTTTTTTTGCTTTCAAACTTTTTTTAATGAATATAAATTTCCAAAGTACAGCTCATGGATTACAATGGCTTCCCCGCCATAATGTCCCTCCTACGCGCAACCCTCCCCTTTCCCACTCCGTCTCCCCTTCCATTCACATCAAGATTCATTTTCGATTCTCTTTATATACAGAAGATCAGTTTAGCATACATTAAGTAAAGATTTCAACAGTTTGCTCCCACACAGAAACATAAAGTGAAAAATACTGTTTGAGTACTAGTTATAGCATTAAATCTCAATGTACAGCACACTAAGGACAAAGATCCTACATGAGGAGTAAGTGCACAGGACTCCTGTTGTTCACTTAACAAATTGACACTCTTGTTTATGGCCTCAGTAATCACCCTAGGCTCTTGTCATCAGTTGCCAAGGCTGTGGAAGCCCCCTGAGTTCACTGACTCTGATCATATTTAGACAAGGCCATGGTCAAAGTGGAAGTTCTCTCCTCCCTTCAGAGAAAGGTACCTCCTTCTTTGATGACCCATTCTTTCCACTGGGATCTCACTTGCAGAGATCTTTCATTTAGGTTTTTTTTTTTTTTTTTTCCCCAGAGTCTCTTGGCTTTCCATGCCTGAAATACTCTCATGGGATTTTCAGCCGGATCTGAATGCCTTAAGGGCTGATTCTGAGGCCAGAGTGTTGTTTAGGACATCTGCCATTCTATGGGAATGCTGTGTATCTCACTTCCCATGTTGGACCATTCTCTCCCTTTTTTAGTCTATCAGCTAGTATTTGCAGACACTATTCTTGTTTATGTGATCCCTTTGGTTCTTAGTCCTATCATTATGATCAGTTGTGAACAGAAATTGATCACTGGGACTAGTGAGATGTCATTGGTCCATGCCACCTTGATGGGATTGAATTGGAATCCCCTGGTATGTTTCTAACTCTACCGTTTGAGGTAAGTCAGCTTGAGCATGTCCCAAATTGCACATCTCTTCCCTCTCTTATTCCCACTCTTACATTTAACAGCGATCACTTTTCAGTTAAGTTTCAGCACTTAAGAAGAATTGTGTATGATTACAGTATTCAACCAAAAGTATTAAGTAGAACAAACAAAAAAAAAATACTAAGAGGGATAACATATCAAGTTGCTCATCAACAGTCAGGGTGAGGGCTGATCAAGTCACCATTTCTCCTAGTGTTCATTTCACTTTAACAGGTTTCCTTTTTGGTGCTCAGTTAGTTGTCACCAATCAGGGAGAACATATGGTATTTGTCCCTTTGGGATTGGCTTATTACACAGTAAGTTAATTTTTTAAAGATTTATTTATTTATTTGCGAGGCAGAGTTACAGAGAGAGAGAGCAAGAGACAGAGAAATGTTCCATCCACTGGTTCACTCCAGTTGCAATGGCTACCGGAGCTAGGCCAATTCAAAGCCAGGAGCCAGAAGATTCTTCTGCGTCTCCCATGTGGATGCAAGGACCCAAACACTTGGGCCATCTTCTGCTGCTTTCCCAGGCCACTAGCAGGGAGCTGGATGAGAAATGGAGCAGCTAGGGGCTGGCGCTATGGCATAGCCAGTAAAGCCACCGCCTGCAGTGCCAGCATCCCATATGGACGCCAGTTCGAGGCCAGGCTGCTCCAGTTCCGATCCAGCTCTCTGCTATGGCCTGGGAAAGCAGAAAATGGCCCAAGTCCTTGGGCCCCTGCACCCCCATGAAAGATCTGAAAGAAGCTCGTAGCTCCTTGCTTCAGACTTACTGAGCTCTGGCCTTTGTAGCCATTTGGGTAGTGAACCAGTGGATAGAAGACATCTCTCTCTCTCTTTGCCTCTTCCTGTATGTAACTCTGCCTTTCAAATAAATAAATAAATCTTAAAAAATAAAAAAGAAAGAAATGGAGCAGCTAGGACCCGAACCAGCATCCATATGGGATGCCAGTGCTGCAGGTAGAGGTCCAACCTACTTCACCACAGAACCGGCTCCTGGAGTTAATATTTAAGAATATGAGATAACTGTAAATCAGTCCCTCTGCCCCCTTCCTGTCTCGCCAGCACCAAGCAACAGTCTATTCTGTTATTACAAATACCATATCTACCCACATTTGCTTTCTAGATGACTTTACAATTGGGTAGCAGCAGATTGAAATTCTCAGTTCTTCATTCCAGTTCTACAAACAACCACCTTGGGTCCTGCAAAATCATCCATGTAAATTACATGCCTCATTCCCAATTCCCACAAGTGATCATTAATCTGATCTGAAAATCTGTATAGCAAATCTTTGTCAGCCTATGTGAGGCAGGCCCTCCTGACCAGCCTTACTCTCTCATGGCTGTAATGACCATTTAGTCTGTATTCTTCCTTTAACAGTACTTTTTACTCCGTTACCTGTAGGGTTTCTAGCAAACCCACCTTGAATCCTTGGTCATGTCATCTAGAGCCCATCAGTTACCTAACAGACCTGCTGGTAGTTTCCAGGCATTCCCGTACTCATATCTTGGCCCCCAGCCACTCAATACGTAGAACTATCATAGCCTGGAACTATCATGCCAGTGGCTCCCCATGGGATTTCCGCCAGCAGACAATTCTGCTTTCAGCGTCCTCATCGTCCTAATCTTTCCCAACAGATTCCACCTTGGGGGAAGGCTTTGGAATATCCTGCTCACTGTGCCAACTACTGCAATGCAGGAGCCCAAATTCCAAGAGGACTCATGTGTAGCATCATTAATTCCAAACAAAACCACCCAGAAATCCAGTTGGGAGAAACATTTACTTTATCTCACAGGAGTGACCAATCACAGATGATTGGCCCCATAATCCATACTGCCCAGCCAGAGTAAACAGTGTCAAATAGCACAGGAGCAAACAAGCAAAACTGGTTAATTGTCAAATAGCCAGACAATTCCCCAGTGCTCCACAAACCACAGCTGTATTATGCTTACATCAACCCTCTCTCTAAGGCATAGAATGGGAACAAACAACACAATGAGCCTTCCCTAAATAGCAATACACTATTCAACACTTCATTTTTGGTGTCCAGAATCTGTATGAATTATCTAGTACTGCATACCAAACCACTCCAAACTGTATGCATGGAGGAGCCATTTCATTATCCTCAGAGATATTAATAGGTTAATTCATCTATCCTGGATTATCTTGCCAAATTTGGGGATCCTTAGCAAAAATAAAATAAATATTTTTCATTATAGTAAGCAGACTTTCATTTATCTTTGGCAGATGATACATTTAGACACTTAAGAATAAGGATACGACAGATCATAAAGCATACATGGTCCTCCCAGAATCCTCAAACTCTCTCATAAAAGTCCTCCTGG